ACGTTGTCTAGGCATGCTTACCCTGCAGAGGGGCTACCTTTGGTCCCGGGCTGTTGCATATCCTGCAAATGCGAGTAACAAAATTCGAAACTCGAGTAGGTCTTTGCACCTGCAGTATTATTCCTTGGACCGCCCATTGAAAATGTGGGCGAGAAATATAGAGGCAAGCAATACAATTTCATATGGCCATGTCTAAGATGAATAATGATAAAGTCTCGTGTGAGTAAACTTAGATGTAATGTTAATGCGACTTTATTTCATGAGATTATGTATGTATGAAAGTCATATCATGACTGACCATAGATCCAGTGATATCAGACCCATATATTATAATCCCTAGGGGTGTGTTGAAGTGTTTAAAAATCCAGTTAATATTTAATCCATGCATATGGTCTATATGATGTAATATCCAAACTATTGCGTTGTCCATACTACATGCATGCCAAAGTTATAGCCATGAAAATCCGGATTGACTTATAGGTCGATCGAGCCTTCGAAAAAGGTCCGCAAGGATGATCATGTAATGGCATGCATATATATACGTGTGGGATAACAATCATCTTGAAATGGTGATATTCATGCATGTTAACAGAACAATCTCACCGATTTTTTGTGCCTCCTACTTGTCATAGGTGTAGATCCCCCCACCGATGAACTTTATTGATAGCGCAATATGAAAACAACGAGATCTTGAAATTCAATTAGTCCATGAATTCTTATAGTAATGGTCGGGCGAGTATCCGATGAAACAACCAATTAAGCTGATTCCTATGCAGGGCAAATGATTATTGCACGTTCTCAGGAATATGTTTTAACTTCTCAAAGAAGTTTACAAGACAATTATTAAGATATGTATATGGTATGTACGCCCCCCAAAAAATGCAAACAAAGATCATATTATAGGGTAACTTTGATTTATCCAACCCAGATAAAGAATTTGATTGTGCTATCGAATTATCCAAGGAGGTCTTAACAGTACTTCAAGCATGCATATTAGGTGAATAGGAGAACTACCCGATATTAATACTTAGAAATACTTATCTGTATGCTCGAATGAACCATCATGGAAATGGCCCCAAAATGGTCGGGTCAAATCTGAGCACTACGATCTCGTCCCTTGATGAGAGTCTCCTCGAGAGAAAAGTATGATGGCGCTCCTCCTCGACGCAAAAGCACAGTAGAGCCTAGCAAGCTGAATCTTTGAACGTTTATGTGAACTGGCCATGTCTGACCTTGTTGTCGCCTGATTGATTCGACTAAGCTAGGCGTTCGTGAGACTGCATTTCATACGAACACAGAGAAAGAGAAATCGAGAAACTCTGATTTGTGAGTCTATAAACCGTTATAATACGTAGGCATTTACTCGATAAACCATGATGCAAACTACACACAGGTTTTTCCGCAAAGTCACGCAAAAGACATAGAATGACCATATATGTTACGTTCAGTATTGTGTGTAATTTTCTTAAACGGGATAGAAACAAATCCCTCGTAAATGATGAACCTCTTCCAATTAGACAGTAAGACTACTTATCTGTTAAGGCATAATCCACGTGGAGCTGGCAATTTCAGAAGCCCAATTGAGTGCAATGTTACTCCTCGATGATGCCAAGCAATTTTGCATGGTGAGACTGTACTATACACTTGAGATTACCAAGTTATAGTAGTACATAATAATAACCGTCAAAAATAAAAAATGAGTTATCGTATGACGGTAAAGAATATAAAAAGATGAAGAACCACATTAGATCTAATGTCAAAACCAATCACTTAGTGCGTGAGAGCATATACAAAGATACTGCCAAATTATAGTTTGGATCTAGCATTGTTGCATCAAAGTCCACTATCTTTGGCATAGTATTTGTTCTGGTCTAGGTACACAACACCCACCATGGTGATAACAATAATAATGATGCTAATAATTCAAATAAAAAGTGGGGTAAGATAATATGGGCATTAGCCAAATTTTCATGTGCAGGGAATAATGATTTTTAATGATGAGTAATGCCCTTCTTTCAATTTTCGATAGATGGTAATCTCAAGAACAAGCGAATGGCTAATTTTATATTAACCACATGTCTAATATTGTAATAATTTCTTGTGTTCTTGTATTTCTTTGCTTTGTTTGTTGTTTTCATTGCTATAATACTTCCAGTTGCTTTAGTGTTTTATGCTTCTGGAGTGTCCTTGCAAATCGTGGAGGTGTTTGGGTCTTCCTCTGTAATTTAGCTAGCCGGATTTGTGATATAACCAGCTTATTTGCTGCTATAATAATTTTGCTTGTTAGTTAACAAGCTACTCCAGTTCTAGCTAGCTTGTTTTTCAGATATAGCTAGCTACTTTCATTTCTAGCTAGTCAATTTACCAAAAAGAGCTATTCAGTTTCAAGTTTTAACCCAGATCCCCCTTTTAGATATTGTGTACATAAGGTGAATTGTTGTGTCCATGTTGGGTTTAAAGAGCTTGCAAAGATCAATCATCAAAAGGAATTCTGGAAGATTCAGAAGAACATAAAGAACTTGAGGAGCAAGCTTTCTTGAAGACTTGATTCTGTATATTCGATACATCTCAACTTGTTGTTCTGTATGTTATTTACATGTACATATACTTACAGCTAATCAACTACTAATCGACTGATTTACAGAACAAAAGAAACACAGCTAATCTACACCACTAGTTCATAACTAACTACTTAAAATCAACGACCAAGATTCAAGGAACCTTGAATTGTGAGGATCTGACATGGCTTGCTGAGGTTTCTAGAAGGGTTGAGCTGTCTTCCTGAGATGCAGCTGACTTCAGAAAATGGTCGATCAACTGACGCAAAATCACTGGAAAACCATGCATGTGATGGATATGTTGATGATGCTTCTTCTGCTGCATTTGCTGCTGCTTCTGATGAAGATTCTAATAGGGTTACTGTGAACAAAGTGCTACCTGATATTGTATATATACTAGCTATTGTTGTGTACACGTATCGAGCTAGTAGTTGTGCACATAGCCTCTGTCAAGTGCTGCCTCTCCAACATGTCAGGATAGTTGATCATAACCGACAAACTCTTCCTCTTTCGACGGACGTAGATGATGACGATGGCCATAAGGATTATGGTAACACAGATTAGGGCTGCGGAGAAAACAGCCACCACCATTAGTTTATCACGCCGTGTTGGGCCAACTGCGGAAATCAACATCCTCCTTGTTTTATATGAACTTCCATGGCAGAAAAAAATTTATCCTAAGAATCATCTTCCTCCTTCGCACGGTTTGGCTTTTCCCAGATTAACGGAGGATTTCAAACAATTATATCTATGTTCCACGTTGGCAACCCCTCTTGTACAGTTTTGCATTTTCTTAAGTGGCTACTTTACGCGCTTTTATTCCTCATCAGTCTTAAAATGTCCGAATACAAACAAAAATAAGATTGGAAATATACTAGCTAGTATCATCAAGTTTCCGAACGTTACATGGATTCACTAATTACCGAAACCAATTTTGATTTATTCTCTTATTTATTGAACAAAAATTATAGTTCGGAATCCGGATGATGAGGAGGCGAGAAAGATCAAGCTTTTATTAAAAGAGATGCTTGTGAATACTGTCAGGTCAAATAAAGGGATTACTTGCCTTTCTTGTTGAGGTGGATTGATTACAAGGGAGGGGAGAAAAAGTTCTCAACATTGATGAAAAGAGTTGATAAATTATACAGGATTTGGTAGATGATCGCAGACAGCTTTTGTTAGGTAGCAGGATTGCAGAGGGATTCCCTGGACAGGCAGAGAAGCCAACCATGATTGATCATTTGCTTCAATTGCAAAAAGATGAGCCTGCGTACTACACTGATAAACTCATAAAAGGAATTGTAATGGTGAGTAAAATAATGGATTCACTCATATCTACCAATTCCTCTCCAACTCTTTCCCAATCAAAACATGCATGGTGACAATTTGTCAAATAATCTACAGAGTTAAACAATTCTAGGCAGCATTTCCTTCCTTTGTCTTCTCGTTCTTATTATTCTTAATTTTTTCAATTATCCTTTGTTTTTACCATACATATGGATTACTAGTACTATGTGGCATGTGCTACCTTTTTCCCATTCAACGAAGTTGGAAATTGGCACTTAGATGCTCGAGTTCAGTAATAATAGACCTAATGAAAAAATAATAAGGTGAGAACTCATCATGATCTATAATATACAGTATACACAATAGTTACGAGTAAAAGTATAATTTTGGAAGGAAAGAAAATTTTACCAGAAAATAACAAACAAAATAGAGAAGTTATAATACTATAGATAAATCACTATTTTTCATTTTATGTTACATTTCATGGTGATACTGTAATATTCATGCTGACTAGAATTGAAATACCAAGAGTACCAGACAGTAAATAATCTGCAAAGAAAGAAAGATCAAACAAGTTTAACCATTTCCGGGCGTGACCTACACTTGGCAACTAGAGGAATAGCTCTGACCATTGTAAAACCTGGGCCTTCATTCATGTCCACCAATTCTTCTCCAACTCTTTCCCAATCAAAACACTGAATCATCCCTCTAGATCAGAATTAAGAGGGATCCATACCATTTTGCGTTCTAATTGAGATGTATGTTTTGTACAAATGTGTAGGGATAATAATATGTGTACCGATACTCTTGCTAAAGCCGCTTTAGGCGTAGATAGGGAATTATATTTATTTGATATTCTCCCTCGGTGTATAGATATGCTACTGGAGAACGATTGTAAGAGTTCAACCAGATGTAATAGTTGGCGTTAGCCTTTATTTTAAGTCTTTCACCCAAAAAAAAAAAAAAACACTGAATCATCATTCCCAAACTCAACCCAATAACTCTCATCGCCAGTGTCTCTCCTGGACATCCTCTTCTACCGTGTCCAAACGGCAAAAACGCGAATCCATCCTTTCGCCCTTGTTGCAAATCCAGGAACCTTTCGGGTTTAAATTTCCAGGATTCCTCCCATATCTTTGGATCATTCTGCATAGCCTATATGTTCACGACTAGCATGGATCCTTTAGGAACCCGATAACCTCCGACAATGCAGTCTTCCGATGATTCGCGGGGGACTAGAAGAGGTGCCACTGGGTACATCCGAAGTGTTTCGTTTATAACCCCCTGAAGATATGGGAGGTGACCCAAATCTGAGTCGTTTATCATTCTTTCGAATCCGGTTATGGTGTCGATTTCTTTCTGGGCTGTCTTTAGACAGGCCTGATTGTTCAACAGAGCTGACAGGGTCCATTCCATTGTGCTGGATGATGTGTCGGTCCCTCCTGTCAACATCACCTATTATACATGTTGACATTGGTAAAAATTTCAGTTCGTTCATTTCAGCGATTATAATGATCAATACAATTTCTCAAATTAACGGGAATATAGGACTGAGAATTATACCTGGATTATGCTTTTGATGAGTTCATCAATATAGTATTCGAGTTCAGTCTCTTGGAGGGACAAGAGAACATCGATCACGGTCTTGTTTTTTATTTGATTTTCCCCATCCGGAGCTCTTCCTCTCATTTTTCTGCATTCTTCGAGCAAATCCTGCATGAATTTGTCTCGTTTCAGTTGTAATTTCTTCAGCTGATTTTCCAGCTTCTTTTGCCCACCAAACCATCTGACTAGCGGAACGAAATGTGCTCTGTTAATCGGCGATTTGTTGGCTTGGAAAGTCTCCATAACTTTTTCTTGAAACTCTGTGGGTTCTTCCTTGTCTTGTTCATCATCATCGCCGCTGTGCCGCTTTCCAGCAATCATTCTCATCACGATATTCAATGTCAGCTCTAAGAAAACCGATTTCATTTCAACAATCGCATACCCTTCAGATTTGGAGGACTTTAGAAGCCGGTGAATCATAGAACGGACCTCTTGTTGACGAATTTCAGTGTACATTTGGACTCTGTTACTAGATAAAATTTCAACGGTGACGATTTTCCTTAAATTGGCCAGTGTTGGCCGTATGAAGCCCAAACAAGAGATGTATAATTACGAACGATGTACTTTCCCGCAAGGAATCTAGGCTTATTGGCAAAGATGATGTCGGTTTTGGTGAAGCATTCCTCTGCGGCAGATGGGCTGGAAACAAGAAGAACAGGGCGAGAACCGAAATGGAGGAGGAGAATGGGACCGTATTTTTCAGAGATTTAGGCTAATGTCCGGTGAAGTGGCAGCTTGAGGAGGTGAAGATGGCCTAACATGGGCAAATTCAGGGGAGGATTGGGTGGCAGATTCTGGAATTTCTTGATGATTTGATTAGTTACAAAATACAGAACAACAAAGATCAAGAGGTAGAACGCATTCTCCTTGGAGATGAAATTCATCATCTTCTCCGAAACACAAGATTTTTCTGCCAATCTTATATTTGATTCAGACTTCAGAGTTTTCGTGGTTTTTGCTGCTTTCTTTTCAACTAGAATTACATCAATTAACCATAGTTTTAACGAGTCATATTTAATTCGATACTTGGTCACAAAACATGGAAATAAATGCCCCAACTCTAATCTTGGATTGTCGTAATCTGTTGTTCATAACATCATCCAAATTGACTTTTTCTTTCTAACTTTTTAAGGCGAACGATTTTAACCATTGCATCTCTGTTTAGTTTTTTCAAAATTAAATATTAATAACTCTCCCATTCAATTTCTAATATATGTTTTTACATTCCTCATAAAAAAAAAATCTAAAAATACCACTAGAAAACGACTCAAACGTACCAAGTAATATCGGTAAGAAAATGCAAATGAGTCATTCCCAATCCATACTGTGCATAAAAGAACATTACATTAATAAGACATTTCTAAATATTATGAAGAGAATTTAAACTAACTTTTTGTGATTAGGAATGAAATTTCCATTCTTCCATTCCCTTTCTTAGACAACACAATCTTGTGTATATATACATATAGGTTGATATTACATTTAGTCTGGTGGACAAGAATTTGATTTTCGCGATAGAATACTGTAACATTTGCCCATGTTTATTGTCGCAATTCACATCTGCAAAATAATAATAGTAATAATAATAATAATAATAATAATAATAATAATAATAATAATAAACAGAACAAGACAAAAGGTTTGTCACGTAAATTTGCAGGACAAAAAGTTGGGACTCGCCAATTTGATGGTTTAATTAGCAAGTAGCTCTACAATTTTTTTCCCTGTAAAATTGCGATGAAGACAATAGCTCCAAAATATTCATTTGATCGAAATCTACTATACATGGAAAAGAAAGGAGCAAAAACGTCTTACAAACTTATACTGCCCCGTCCTATAATTATTGTCTGGTTTGAGTTTTCATTTTTAGTTCAAATTGTGCTAAAAGTAAAATTTCAAATTGGATAACAATATTGGACCGAGGGAGTACTTAATTAATTGGCTGGTTGTAAATGTATGTATAAATGGTTAGCATCAAAATAGAACCCACTTTCTATCTCAGTCTGCTGGGTTTTCCAGGTCAACCGTCAAAAGCTGCCAAGCAAATTGAGCGGCCGCAAGAAACATAAGTGCGTAAAACAACCATCCTGTTAATTCAACCTTTATATGGATTAACCACAAAAATTTCGGAGACATTTGTATAAAACTAAACAAGAAAGAATTTGAGCTCTCATTATCGTAGGAGGTTGGTAATTAGCCAAAATTTTGAGTTTAAGATTTGGAGTAGTGGATCTATACAATTAGTTGTTAATGCTTTGAATAAACACCATTTTGTCACCAAAAAAATATATATATATATATATATATATATATATATACACCTTATGTTTCAAAAATAATTAATGATTGTCTTATGTAAATTCTATAAACGTGAATATAGAAAAGTAAATGCTTAAACTATGAAGCTATATGTAGATAGAAGATACCCGTATTAGCATTGATCCACTTAGTAAAAAACTAGCAATTGAAGCAACTCCAAATATACTGTTCCAGAGCTTTGTTGAATCGCCAAACAATAATGCTGTAGATTTGACTCCCGCTTTCAAGTCATCTGCTTTATCCTGTATGAGTCACTTGTATGATGACTAATTGAAATATTTTACAAAGAAATGTACGTAGTAAAATTGCACGTATACATGTAGAATGTTAAATGTAGACAGAGTAAACGTCTCGTATAATTGGCCAAAAACTAGTTTTAATTTGTATCAGTTTAAAAATACCATTTTCACTCTTTTTTTGGGGGTGTTCAAAACAAGATTTCCGTCAAAAGGATAGCTGGAAAAAAAAAAAAAAGAAAGAAAATTTGTTACTACCTCATGGGCATATATCGTATCGATAACTTGCATCCAGAAGAAGCAACCAAAAAGAACGGAAAGATTATGCCACGTTGAAGAGTTGTTGAGACAAAGAATCTCACATCGGTATCGTGAAAGATCTGTCACCTGTTTATAAGTGTCAAAGGCCACCGCATTCATTGCCAATTGGTTTTGAGATGGGAGCCCAAATTACTTATATACTTTGACATGGTATCAAAACGATCTGAGCCTATGGTGATGTTTTGGGCCGGAGGTGATGTTCCAGGCCAGAGGTGGCTCGTGTGGTGATTTTATTCTCCCACTTGTTGTGGACTTGTTGTGGATCGAATCAGCGGTATAACTGATTTTTCTCCCACTTGAGCGTTGACTCGTGGGCTTGTTGTGCATCGATCCTGCGGTATACTTTGACATGGACTAATCTGGCAATATATCCGGAGTTGTACCCATGTGTACAGGTTTGTGGACTGACCCAGCAGTATATCTGGTGAATTATGTTGTATTGTGGTCCTGCTTAAGCGTTGACTCGTGGGCTTATTGTGGACCGATCCAGCGGTATACTTTGATATGGACTGATCCGGTAGTATATCCAGAGTTGTACCATGTGTATAGGCTTGTGGACTGACCCAGCAGTATATCTGGTGAATTATGTTGTATTGTGCAATCTCAATGGGCCAAATACCTCATTGGGCTTGAGGGAGGGTGTTAAGACAAAGAATCCCACATCGATATCGTGAAGCATCTGTCACCTATTTATAAGTGCCAAAAGTTACCCCACTCATTGTCAATTGATTTTCAGATGAGAGGCCAAAGTGACTTTGACAAGAGTTCCTCTGGCTGCAGCCCAAGAACACAAAACTCCCTAATTGGCACTCAATCCAAGAAGTGCTTGAGGCTACACATATAAGTCGAACTTCTGCATTAAAAATAAGAATGACTAAAAAAATGGATTGAGACGTGTTCTTTATAATATTTTCTTTGGTTCCAAAATAATTTCGGTTTAGAATCTCATTTTCATTACAAAGCATGCTGAAAATGAAAATTTTCAAGTGACAATTAATTAAGGATAAAAGAATATTTACTATCTATTGAAATGCATTTACACAAAGAGGGTACGTTGATAAAATACCCAGTAGGTTATTCTTTTCATAAGCGGGTAGGTAAAATATCATGGCAACCAAGAAATCTGGCGAGTCCATATCCATCACCGAGGCTGGACCGGCCCATCGACCGAAGGGAGAGTCTAACTGGGACTCTTGAGGCGGCTTAAGTTTCCGAAACCTAATAGGATTCAGGGATTGTCTAGGTATTCTCATACCTATAAATAAGGTTGCTTACACCACAATAGAGGTACGCAATCTACAACTTAACATACTACATACCTAAGCCTTTCAGCAACCCTTTATTGACTTAAACATCGGAGTGTCTACCCTCGAGAGACCCCGAGGCCCTGTTTTGCAGGAAACCCAAGCCGGAGTTCCACCCTTAGACCGACGGCGCGAAACCTAGCATCGCCAAGTGGCACGCTCAATGGGACCTGAAAACTAGGGTTTGTGTCACAAAAACCTCCTGAAGTTTCCTTTGACATCTTCCGGTAAAAACTAGGGTTGCAGTAACAACCAACTAAATGGTTAGAGTTGAAAAATAAAATAAAAAATTAATGGAAAAGATCAAAGGTCAGAATATTAAAGGAATACAAATGCAACACAAAGTCTTTTCACTTTCTTGGTTGAAAAAAAAAAGGGAAAAAACCCCATAGTTAACACTTAAAAAGGACTACCAAACTCAAATCTACATTCGGCAATTATAATATATATTGATGAATATTGATTAAGTCCCCTCAAATTTGATAAATTATAGAAAATAACAAAAATTGGTAATTATCAACGTAGTCATGATGCAAAAAAAAAAAAAAAAAAAAAACAAACAAAACAAAACAAAAGAAGGAAAACGTGCACCCTATCCCATAGTATTTTACTTTTGAGCGCCTTTTCTTTCTATCGGTTTAGTTTCTACAATAAGACAATTTTTTACGTTGCAAATTTTTTATTAAATGTGAAAATGCAAATGAAATGAATAAAAAAAGCTTTCACAAATTGGTGAGGGAAATGATGAAAAGGTTAAGAACTTCTTTTTCCATCCAAAAAAAAAAAAAAAGAAAAAAAAAGAGGAACGTGAGGAATGATCTTTTTTTCCTTCAAAATAAGTGTTTGCCAAAAAAAAAAAAAAAAGAAGATGGAAGTAGTAGAAGAAGAAAGATATACACTAAAAATATTTTTACGTGTAGCTAAAAAATAAAAGTATCCACCTAACCAAATATCACTAAAACAAAATAAAATAAAAATATCCACCAAACCAAATATCACTAAAACAGAATAGTGAAACAAAGAAGAACCAAGTGAGAGGCTTCAGGTTGCATCTTAGGTAATCAACAAATTAAATCTCAATAAACAAAAGGAAGAAGGAAAAAAAAAAAAAAAAAGAAGTGGCCGGATGGCGTCCTTGTGTTTTGGTATAATAGTTAAGCATAATCTTAAGCATGTCCAAGGCTCCTGCAAAGAGAAATTCGGTAGCATTATGCGCAATTTACAAAAGGGCAAGTATTCAACATTTTTGTTTCTTCATTCACTGTGCATAGATTTGGTTGAACATGTTGGAAGAGTGGATGCGACAATTGTTTAATTACATACTTCATATAAGGATTCCATACGGATCCAATATTGTACTGTAGTAATTAAATTACAATTGATTGAGAAGTTGGATCATTTCTGGGCGTGGCTTGAACTTAGCAAGCAGAGGATTAGCTCTTGCCATGTGAAATCCCGATCCTTGAGTCCTCATATCTACAAATTCATCTCCGTTTCTTTGCCAATCAAAGCATTGAAGGAGCGATCCCAATATCAGCCCAACAATTCGCATACCCAAATTCTCACCCGGACATCTTCTTCGGCCATACCCAAATGGCATAAACACAAACCTTTCTCTCTGTCCTTCCGAGTTCATGAACCTTTCCGGCTTAAATTTTTCACATTCATCCCATATACTTGGATCATTTTGTATAGCCCAGATGTTGACTAATAGCATCGTTCCACGAGGGATTCGAAATCCTCCGACAACGCAATCTTCAGATGATGTGTGAGGAACAATAATAGAGGAAGCAGGGTATAAACGAAGTGTTTCATTAATCAGGGCATGGAGATACGGAAGCTGATCTAAATCTGAATCTTTGAGTAACCTTGAATGGCCTACATTGGTGTCAATTTCTTCCTGGGCTTTCTTTAGAGATGCTGGATTATTCAGCAGAAGGGATAATGCCCACTCCATTGTTCCAGATGATGTTTCAGTCCCTCCTGATACCATGATCTGTTCAAGAAATTACATACAAATTTTCAGTTAGTGAGTCTATGACTTGATTTTTTTGGGTTTTGGCCCCAATAACTTTTAGATTACCTGATGCATTCCGTTGATGAGCTCATCGGTGTAGTATCCGGGTTCATTTTCTTGGAGGGATAACAGAACATCAAGCAGAGTTTTGTCTTTGTTTACATTATTGGAATCATAATTTGCTCTGATTTTTCGGCGTTCTTCGATAAGATCTTGCATGAATTTATCCCTCTTCATATGGAGCTTTTTAACCTTCTTTTCAAACTTTAGCTGCCCACCAATCCATTTAACTAGTGGGACAAAATCTGCTACGTTCATTGTTCCACTCACCTGGAAAGACTCCTTCACCAGCTGTTGGAACCTCTTGGCTTCCTTCCTATTCACCTCATCATCATCACCGTAGTATCGCTTTCCGGCAATCATTCTCGTGATGATGTTCATTGTATACTCAAATAAGACTGATTTCATCTCCACCCTACCATATTCATCAGCTCTAGAAATTCTCAGGAGCCGCTGAATCAGTAAACGGACCTCATCGTCCCGTATGTTGGCTAACATTTGAATTCGGTTGCTTGATAACAGTTCAAGGGTAGCCAGTTTTCTCAAATTGCGCCAGTGTTGACCGTATGAGGACCATGTCATGGTGGTGTAATTATAACCAAGGTATTTTCCAGTTAGAAATCGAGGCCTGTTGGCGAAGATTATGTCGTGTTTGGTGAAACATTCTTCGACTATGGAGGGATCAGATGCAAGAAGAACGGGTTGAGAACCAAAATAAAGGAGGAGAACCGAACCATATTTATCAGAGATGTTGGCTAATGTTTGATGGAGTGGTTTCTTGAGGAGATGATGAAGATGGCCTAATATGGGCAAACACAGAGGAGGACTTGGCGGGAGATTCTTGAATTTCTTTATGATCTGATTGGTTAGGAGATAGAGGAAAGTAAAAAGGAAGAGATAGCAGCATGAAATCTCCATGGAGATGATGTTCTTCTTCTGTAATTCCCGGGGAAATGTAGATATAATCCTACTTATCAATTCATTCCCCTTGCTGATATGGATTTTGGATTTTGACATTTTGTCACTGACATTAACTTTTTTCTTTGTTTTTCAGTAAAACTGCCATTCGAATATGTAGCCTTTCAGATGACTAATTTCTGTTGGAAGCCGATGAGAAGGGGCGGCCTTGTTTTTATAGCATTTGTCCAGAGTCCTAAGATGGCGAAATCACATGAAAATGAACTCTCAACTGCATTTAGCTTTTGTCTCTACGAGTGCACCCAAAAAAAAAAAAAAAAAATCAAAACTTTTGTCTCTATGAAGGTGCAGATATGGATTTTAGACCCTATTGGATTGAAATCAATAATATCATGCATAACCCAGAAGTCTTGTTTATGATCATATCTTGGTTTCGTTCAAATCAAGATCATCCCTCTAGTTAGATCCAATTTGTTGAAATTAATGAAAATCGGCCTTAATTTTGCAGAAGAATTCTAAAGGCCCGATAAAGTTTATAACTTTATATTGTATACACTCCATAGTCCAAAAGGCATATGCTATAGGAGAATGGAATTGAACTTCGAATCTTCACAATGGCTTGAATTTTTTCCTATGCTTCATTGAAGTCGCCGACGCACTATAAATGTCTTTTCTCGTCTGTGCGTGAAGTAATGCGTGATTTCCAACGGCATCCAATAAATTCCCAGTTCTATGTTTGAACACTTGTCTTTCCTCTGTTCCATTATACACCACAAATCACGCTATAGACTGGAAAGGAAGGAGAAAAAGAAAACACACACACACACACAAATGAGAAACGAATCTTCCTTTTCTTCTGAAGTGCGATTGGAATTGAAAGGTCACTTATAAATGGTAACGATAACGAAGAAACCAAAGAAGAAATTTTCCAAATCAAATGAGCTCCGAATCTCATCAACCGGGTCGCCAAGAAGAAGGTCAAGAATCCAAATTCCTCCTACCCAGTGAATCCTCGCCGGTAATAATTAACAGTGGGTTTGAAGATGATGAACCCAGAGAAAAGATCCTGGCTTTTGATGTTGAGGCAGAGGATCCATCCCTTAATCTCCATTCCACCGGCGATGATGAATCTACGCCGCCTTTCTCATGGCGGAAGCTCTGGGAATTCACGGGCCCGGGTTTTCTGATGAGCGTGGCGTTTCTTGATCCAGGAAATCTGGAGGGCGATTTGCAGGCCGGGGCGATTGCGGGATACTCGCTTCTGTGGTTGTTGATGTGGTCTACTTTGATGGGCCTCTTGATCCAGCTCTTGTCTCTGAGGCTTGGAGTTGTGACGGGAAGTCACTTGGCTGAGCTTTGCAGGGAAGAGTATCCTTATTGGGCTGGGATTTTGCTGTGGTTCATGGCAGAATTGGCCTTAATCGGAGCTGATATTCAGGAGGTTATCGGAAGTGCCATTGCCATCAAGATTTTAAGTCATGGAGTTTTGCCTCTTTGGGCTGGTGTTCTTATCACTGCTTCTGATTGGTAAGATGATAGAGCAACTTTTCTCTGTGCAGTTTATGTGAATGTAACATTAAGTTTCTTGATTCTGATTGATGCTTTTTGTTTTGTATGAACAGTTTCATCTTCTTGTTTCTAGAAAACTATGGAGTTAGAAAGCTAGAAGCATTTTTTGGTGTTCTTATTACGACAATGGCATTATCATTTGCCTGGATGTTTGCTGACACAAAGCCTAGCACAAAAGAACTCACAATAGGTTAGAAGGTTAGCCATCCTTCTTGTTGTATTGATCATTGAAAACTCATTTGAAGCATCATCCACTAAGAATGTGATTATACTTTTGATTGTTGCAGGTTTGTTACTGCCAAGACTGAGCTCAAAGACTATTCAGAAAGCCGTGGGAGTCGTTGGTTGTGTGATAACTCCTCACAATGTGTTTCTTTACTCTGCTTTGGTACAGACAAGGAAAGTAGATCGAAAAAACAAAGGGCAGGTTCAAGAGGCGCTCAATTATTATAAGATTGAGTCTATAGTCGCGGTCCTTGTCTCGTTCACTATTAATTTGTTTGTCACAGCAGTTTTTGCAAAGGGATTTTATGGGACTTCAAAAGCTGGTAGTTTAGGCCTAGTAAATGCAGGACAATATCTCCAAGAGAGGTATGGTGGAGGTTTGTTCCCTATCCTCTATATTTGGGGCATTGGCCTTTTGGCAGCTGGACAAAGTAGCACCATGACTGGTACTTATGCCGGACAATTCATCATGGGAGGTTTTCTTAACCTTCGTATGAAGAAATGGATAAGATCAGTAATTACCCGGAGCTGTGCCATTGTACCAACCATTATTGTCGCGATCATATTCAACAGGTCGGAAGATTCATTGGACGTATTGAATGAATGGCTTAATGTGCTTCAGGGTATGCAGATCCCGTTTGCAGTAATACCACTTCTCACATTGGTTTCCAGCGAGCATGTCATGGGAGCCTTCAAAATCGGAACCACTATGCGGGTAAAGCAACCTAACCTAAAAATCCTTTTTACTAATGCATGTTTATTTTCGTAAATTTGGTCTAGCTGGATTTAAGTCTTTTTACCTTATTATCAAAATCAGAAAACGAGCATACGAGTCATAGTTTTTGATGGTTTAATCGCGATATTATGTGCATTTGAATTGCAGAGGATGGTTTGGACAGTGGCTGGGATGGTGATAATGATCAATGGATACGTTTTGCTGGAATTTTTCAAGTCTGAAGTAAGAGGACTTGTATATGGATTGATTGCTTGTATAGGAACTTTAGCATATTATGCCTTCATCTTATACCTCATTTCACGTGGTGATGGCCATCTTCCTACCAATTTGTACACCCCAATGCACTCCCAACTCAAGACTTAATCCCAAAATTGCTTCCTCCTTTGGAGAAAATATACGGAAATCCAAAATTGACAAAATTTGATCGATTTCTATGAAGGTGAATATTTCCATTTTTCTTGTGCTTTTTGTACAGAAAGAAATGATGTTGGGTTGAGATATCGTAATCATTTGAAGATAACTTTTCGTATCTGGGGCCTGGAAGCAGGTTTTGAAGATTTGCTTATGATTTGTTTGTACCACTTTTGATGATTGATGGGCACTACAAAGTAGAAGAAGAAAGTACTGGTGGAATCAGTTTTCGGCCTAAGGTAGCTAGCCTGTTCTCCTACGTCTTGTCAAATGTCAAGAACATGCAAATATGCTTAGTGTTGACGGAATGAAACTTTGTTGTTTCTAGTTTCCTTGACATTAGACTTCTTCCTGAGTTCTTAAAGTCTTGACAATCCCCATATTATTATTTTTCACTAGTGATACTTGCAGAGAATATTTACAATAAATTTTATCATAAAATAATGTGGCTAAATCTAACTATCTCATAACCTTTAAATAAATACATTTTTACATGTATAGTTGAACTATGAACGATTATAATTTAATTCATGTATACTTTTTTTTACAAATTTTTCCTGCAACGATCATCACTCTTTACTTTTTCAGTTTTGGAATTGAAGGATTAAAAGGAAATTTAGTGTAAACCTCACTTGGGATCTTCGGAACTCAGGATTGATAAATGATAACGTGTATTCCCTTCCTATTGTCTTACTTATGAAGTACAAATTCATATTGATTTTTTTTTTTTTTTTGTATAGTTGTCTGAAATCGAGTCATGAAATCTAGTCATGGTGAAACAAATATAATTCATCTTATATAAGAACAAAGTTGGTTTAAAACCATTCCAACCAAATAATGGTAATAATAAAATGCTTCAACCGCATACTTTATCACACTTCATAATTGCCAATGAACTTACCTTGACGAAATATGGAAAAAAAAAAAAAAAAAAGCTAAAATCTGTACGGTAAGACTTCGAGTGGGTGTCCATTTTCCATTGGAGTAGAAGACACTATTGTATCTGATCTTTTGATGGCGGTGTGGAATTTGTAACATTTTTCCCACACTTTCTTTTTCAATGTCCTTTTTTTGCCCCTTCTGCATTAAGTAGTAAGCAAGGGAAAGCAATGCTGCCAACATTACAAAGGTTTTGTGTTTTGGAATGCTTGTAAAGGGTCACAAAAAAAGCAAATTTGCCTGAACCAGAAAATTTTAAAATAAAAAAAAAAAAAAAATGCACCCCGCGGATGATGAGGTCTAAATCTTTGCTCCAGTCAACTCATTCTAACTAACTAATCCTCATCCTAACTAAGTCTCATTAAGAATTGACTGAGGAAAAAATGTTGAATTTGAACCGTTTTCTCTTTATCGGTGGTGAAAATAATTTAATTACCGCAATGGATTTTACTGAAATGGGGTGCAGTATTAATTTGGGAGTAGGGACACTATCCACGCGTAGACTTATTCCCTTAATCTATATATATTAATGCAGGATGAAAATAACTTATTTGGTATGAAATTGGAAGCTCATTTAAGTTGGAAGTAAAAAATATAAATTTAACTGTAATTACAGTGTATCTTAACCGTAGAAGATTACTTTATTTTAACTTTCTGCAACATTATTTCAAAATTAGTAATCTCATAATGAAAGCTGAAATAGAATCCAAGTTATTCTAGATTATTCCTATCTTAAATCTTACATGGGATTTTTTAAATATTGTTCTATTTATTTTATTTATTTTTGTTTACATTTTACTCTATCTATTCACCGAACAAAAAATATTCATCTTACAAATTTTCTGATATGAAAAATTAGAGTAAAAAATTCAACTGCAAAGATTAAAATTACAGTATAAATGTTTGACTATTACTTGAGAAATTTTAGTTTATACCGTATTTTTGAGAGAAATTTTGGATATCTTTTTAAGACTAAGCGAGTATATATAAATGCATCTTTCAACGCGATTACTCTTACATTTTGGTAATCTTTATTTTACACACATGTTATTTCAAAATATAAGTCCATTTTAAGCTTAGTACTTAGTAGAGCTATATTTCAAAACATGAAAAATTCCAAGTTACATACTCTGAACATAAGGAGTCTCCCCATAATGTACCTTAACAATTGATCTTCCCAAATCATGTTTTATTGTTTGTAAGTCGCAAGGTAAAATGGAAAATTAATAAAATTTTATCCGAAATTGCTACATTTTGCCTCCAAATTTTTAGAAAAGAGGAAATTGCACCTTAAATTTAATTGATTTTATAAAAATTTACCTTTGGGTCAAATATGAGCGAATTGCACATTGTCTTTTAGTGAAAATTTTCTCATGGCTTCTAGTTTTTATTCTTTTAATGCACATATTTTTATTAATATTTTTATTTGTCCTTTTTTTTTAAATCCACCCTAGTGAACTCCACTTAAATGTGGGTAAAACTCCCCCGTCCCCCCTCCCCCTCCCCCTCTTTATACCTTTGGTGGGAATTAAATTCAAGTCTAATATCAAGAAACACAACATCCTAACATCCTACCCACTAGGTTATCATTCAAGTCCCATTTATCATTTTTACATCATTATTTTACAAAATAATTTTTTCCGGCTCTCCTCTTTTTTGTTTTTTTTCTTAAAGTTATTGGCACTTTTATCCATTTTTTATAGTACATAATATTTTAGATTTTATTGTCATTCGCATAAAATATAAGTACAACTTATAATAAGGAGCTCAAAAAAATATGTATATCGAAAATAATAAAGATTAGAAGTTGAGGGGAAATTTTTGACCAAATGTTGCAATTTATTAAAATTTTACCCAAAGAAAAATGTTTGTAAAACTAACAAAATTTAAGATGTAGTTTGCTCTTTTTCAAAAGTTTGAGGGTAAAGACATAACAGTTTGGGATAAAATTTTATTACTTTTCTATTTTGGGCTTGAAAAGTACTTACAAATAATAAATTCAAATATAAGGGACATGATTTGGGAAACCAATTCTTAGGGTATATCATATGTGATGCGGAGATTCCCTATTCTAATAATACATAAAGTATAATTTTTCCTTCAAAATAAATAATTTCAGGATTTCAAGACATATTAATTACTCCATCCGTTTCCAAAATAAGTGTCATTCTAGAGTTTGTATATAGTTTAAAAAAATATTAAATATAGTAGCTAAATTACTAGAATATCCTTAACCAACCCCATTAAAATAAGTGCTCACCAATAATATTATTTCTTTTGAGGGTATATTTGAAAATTTTTGACAAAAAATTTATTGGAATCTGAAAACAACACTTATTTTGGAATTTCTCTATTTTGCTATAACGACACTTATTTGAAATGGAGGGAGTATTAATTTTCCAATTTTACCATTAATAAATGATACTAACTTTTTTTTTTCGTGTAGCCATGTTTATAATTCCAATGCATTGAGAATCGAGTATGCTCTTGTGGTTGCTTGTTGGACTTTTGTGGGTAAAGAGCTAGAGACCCAGACTCGATTCTCATGGGGTACAATTGGGAGGGAATTTAGGATGAGTATGGAGACGTGTGGTAGGATAGTATTCTCTCCATTTCAAAATAAGTGTGTTTTAGTAAAATGAAGAAATTTTAAAATAAATACGTTCTCACATTTTAATACACTTTTTGTCCAAAAGTTTTTAAAATTATCCTCAAAATAATTAATACTATTGGTGGGTATTTTTTTAATGGGGTTTGTTGAGGATATTCAAGTAATTTTTTTACCATATTTAAGAGTTTCTTAAGTTATGTGCAAAGTGTAGGATGATACTTATTTTGGAATAGAGTAGTAAATTTTAATGCATTAATGGGGGGCATAAAAGATGTTTCATATATAAATTAATTTTTAAAAGATTATTTTTAATTTAATTTATGTATAAATGATAAAGTGACTTATATTTCAGAATGGAAGGAATGTTAATTATTAGCTCCGGCACTATCAAAATTACTAGTGAAAGAAAAAAATAGTTACAATACTTAGTTCAAGTTATAAAAAGACTAAAATTCTATAATTTTCTAAACATAATACGAGCTTCTAGGTAATTTCAATAGAGTCATCTGACATAGTAATTATACAATGGTGTACCATGTTTCGTCGATGTTATGTTGGATTTTTATAAAAGAATATACGTACATGAATATAGGGAAAAACACACACTAAAAAAACAAGTCTCAAAATGGAAAAGAATGACCAAGTAAGTTTCTTGGCAATCTGCAATTGTTGCCGACGATATGCAAATTTCACCCCTCTGCTGATTACTTTAGTTTCCTGTATTCATGCAAACAGCATCTGCAAAATCCAATAACCCTCCAACTCTGATTAACTTGGACTCTGATTTGCATACATCGAAGACGGTGTTCTATGCTCAACAACTATTGCAGATGACGATGATGGTTGTCAGCGTCCCTTTTCTTCATCCTCTTAAGAGTTGATAAGTGCAAGCTTGGGGTTTGTCGCCGCTTACTTTGAAGGACTTGGCATTGCAAACCGGCCGGATAACTTAATACCCTTTTGAGAGATTGCTGTTAAAATTGTGCTCTCCGAGATCTCAGAATTGTGGATTATCATGGAAGCACTAAAGATTTCTGCTAATGGCAAGGTTAGAAAGTACATTGCCTCTGCTACGGATTTCTTGAACTGTAATTCCTCTCTACAAATTAAAGCCATGGGTATTGTCATTCCAAAAGCTGTTGTGATAGGGGAACTACTCAAATGTCAATTGAATGGGCTTCAACAAACTGTTCACATAGCCCTGACAAATGGAGTCTCCACAATTATTATCAATCTGAGTTTAGTTCCACTGCAAGATATGGGAATTCAAAGCTAAGTCTGTAGAAAGAAAAATAATAGGAGAAAGAAGCGAAATAGCAAACACCTTTCACACAATGATACAGCTACTGCACATGGAGAAAGAATGGAATGGAGGAAAATTTCCTCTCCTACACCAAGGCCA